GTCGTCAATTTTGTTTACTTTATTTACTCATTATTTAAGAATTAATAGACGTCAAAAATAACTTCAACATTGATTTTTGATGTCACATTTTATATGGTAGGTTCTTATTCCGACGCTTATTTTCATGTGACGGTGTATTTTCATTAATACACCTATCATAGAAATTCCAATAATTCAGTGTTCGGTTTGTTTCCGAAAACTTGCAGTTGAGAACGTCTTTCAATATCAGAATCTGATAGCTGTGTAAGTATTCATCCGGATCTCCTAAAAACCCTTACAGAACAACTAGGCAATCATTCACTGTGTGGAGAATCAATACTGCGAATTATTCAAAACTACGCCTGTTCTTCAGTAAATTCCACCATAGCTGCATTAAGAAAACACGGTGTTGCTGTTGAGTTTTGTTCCGAAACTAATGTACGTTCTGTTTTATTCCCACCTTTTGAATCGGTCAAGGTCAGAGAAGTCTAGCGCTCCTATAAAGACCAATCAAGATTGATGTGAAACTGAATATCGTCAACCGACTTGCAGTTCCTGGTAAAAAAGATAGTGGTTTGTTCAGTACGCTACAGCAATGGTGAAGGTTCCTTCACAACATCATTGGATACTTCTTCTTGGGGTGCGGGGAGTGATATTATTTGGTTATATATATTCTAAATCCTTTCTGCTACGTAAGTGGTTAATTTCTTGACTATACAACAAATATTAGCTTTTAATAATTCTTGACTTTTAAACTACACAGTATTCCTATTTTAAGTTTTTCTTGTTAAATAGAATGTTTTGGATACTGACTTCACGAATTGATAAAATTAGTTCCTTGTTAACTCTTAGTCGGTTGGTAATCATTTTTACGTTTAATGTTCCTCATCATATATCACAAAAAAATCTGTATGCTTGTCATCTAACTTTAAACATAGTGGTATTTAAGATTACCTCATTATATTTACTGGCAATTTTTTTTTCAGTATTAGAAAGTAAATTTTTTTAAATACTTCTTTGAGTAAGAGCTTAAGCTTTAATTAGCTCTTAATTAATTAAACATATTTTTTAACATGTTATATCTGTCAGTATTCGTCGTACCTATAAACTGACTGACTTTTCGTTTGTCACCATTTATGATTTCCAGTCACATCAACATCCTATTTATTCAATTTCCTAATTGTTTAATTCATATCTCACTTTCTGTTGAGTTAGACTTGGAAACTAGACATACGGTTAAGATGATTAACTACGTACATTACCAGTTTGATATGTTACAAAACCCGTTAACTGAATTGAATCTGTGTATTTAAAGCCTAATTTACAACTTAGTGTTGGTGCGTGACCGCAGAGCCCAAGGGACAACTGCTTGAGGCCGGTCACGCACGGCCTTTTTATGAAAGGTATTTAGAGGATTAGCTCCGTTCTTAAAGGCCCTTAGTGGACACCCTTACCCAAGGAGACGGAAATCCGTGAGGTAGGGTGAGGTGTGACATTTTTAGGGTCGACATTTTCTAACCATTCCTTCCTTGTGAGAAGGCAGCATCGCTGCAGATGCTGCTTGTTGTCCGAGGGAAAAACTCTACTGCTGTCACACCCCTCTACAGTCAGCATTACGACTTCGCTCTCAGACCTTCGGTAGCTGCTTTTAGTCTGATCGTTCTCCAATCGATCTGCCTGGCATGGTAGGAACCTTCAGGAACATATGTTCCAGCCAATATAGCTCGGTTGGGTGATCACGATAGGCAAGCCTGACCACCACGTCAAGGTAGCAGCTTCGGTCGGGCATGTTCATGTTGCTAATGTGGTATGGCAACATGAACTTATGTGCATACGTACGAAGTTCTACGTTGCAACTGACTGACTTACAACTTAGGAATTACAATTTTAATTGATTATGAAATATAAGACCTGAGGCGCTACCGCCATCAACATTTTGTTAGCCACTATAATTGTACATATTTCAAAATTAATTTGTCTAATGTGTAAAAATGACTTCCATGTTCCCTAGAAATATTGTAATCCAATTATCTTTATGGTAACAGAGTGGAATTTTGAAAGCAGACAATCATAGTTGTACTGTCCTCTGCTGTTTCTCCCAAAACGGTTACTGTATGGTTGTAAATTAACGCCTGTAAATCTGAAATCTAGATATAGGAGTCAAATTGTGGTTTAAGTGTAATGAATAACTGTGCACCATTCAATCGCTAAAGACAGAAAAATGAATAGATTAATGATTAAATAATTATTTGGTTTCATTTCATAATTTCTGAAAATTGGCGCCAAATACAATACTACGCTTAAAATCTAATAAATTTCCTTAAATTTTTTTCAAATGGCGAATTTCACCGACCATTTTGTCGTCAGTTGAATTCATCGGGTCACTGTGATGAGTAAATGCATGATATATTACTTAAGGAATACTAAACAGAATCGTTTCTGGAATCTCGTTTTTGTACACACTAAAATGTGCATTGTAATATTTACAGCAAATCACCTCAGTATATGTCTTCTTTTAATGTGATTTCAGCTGTGTGATGTCAGTGTGGAGCTTGGTAGAATTGTTATGCAGTCATTAGTCGGTTCTGCCAATCATATATTGAATTCTTTACCTGAATCCTGGCGTTCGCGTGTCACCACACAAATTTTATCAGTCGATCATGTCATGTCTGACTATTTGCCCCGTTTACGACCTTTAGCATTAGCAGTTTATACATCTGTGAATCGTTTCATTGAACCCAGTTTGATAAATGCAAATCGTACATTAACAGGTATCGGTCCAGCAGCTGAAAAGGAGATTATTTCAAATGACAAAGACGTAAGTTAATGAAAGTATTATTGATCTAAACTAAAGGCTTGATACTTGCTAATGCTTTGCCTATTAAAGTTCGTAGGTTATCTTTAATCTGGCAAAGTTTCTGTGAATAATGTCAGTGTAATTTTCGTATATGTTGTTATATCTTCTCTACATTCGTTGTTTATGAATACTCACACTGAAAATAAAGCCTTTTGTAGTTGGTAAATACCAACTGTAACCTAAAGCGCAGGTGGCATGTGAACATCGATGTTACACTTTATATATGAAGACTACTAGTGTTAACCAGTTGGTGATATCATATTTGTAATAAAAATGCTAATTGACCTTCTTTAAAAGCTTCGAAAGAAAAGAAACTTGATAATCTAATCAACATATACGTCTTAGTAAATTGTGTTCAAACACCTTAATAGTATGCATGTAATACTTGCTACAAAGATCACACTAAATTGTCGGTGTATCTATTTATTTCCCTTTTACTCTTAATACTCGAGAATTTTTCGAATAATAGATATGCTTTCATGTCTTAAATTGTTTTGTTTAACATTGTTTTGACCACTTTTATGGACAATTGAATTTTCAAGTGATTATCAACTTATGAATGATGATACCCAATGTTTATTGTGCTAATAATATCGTTTTGTGACATAATCTCATTTGGTAGAAAAAAGATGAAGAGTTTATTTATGGAATTTTTTAGTTATCAAAATATTTCGTAATAAAAATGATGATAAGTTTTATATTCATTTCAATTGAGAAAAATAGATGTCTGTTGAAAAAAATCAATAATTCTAGACTTGCAAAACCTCACTGTAATTTAAGTATACTCAGGGTAACTAACTTTATAACTTTGTAATCTAGAGTGATTCGCTTCTTGGTCTAAAATTGCTGTTTGAAATTTTCCATTATTTTTTTGACTAAATAGATTAGAAATAGTTAACAGTGTAGCATATTTGAGAAACATTGTTTTTTTGGTCAAACCATTCGGCTTACATACAATCTTTGAGTATTCACATTTTTTGATCTTCTCTTTGTCTACATCGATCGAACCAACTCGATCAGACCACTAAATTTCATGCATGAAATATTTATTAGACTCATTTTCATAGATATGTTGTATTAGGGTCACTGAGTTACATCTGAATATCTCATAATCACTTACTGTCTTGTTTCTGCATCTCACCAAGGAGAGGTCATTTGGTCACCATTAATTTTGATAGTTCATTTTATTTCTAAAAGGTTTTTTTTTCAAATAAAAAATCATGCAATATTTACATTCCTGTTCATTTTACAAGGATGAATTTTATTGATCCACTTTAAATTTAATTTTTTTTAGTTTGTATTTAATAAAAAACAACTATTTATTTAATTGTGAACAACTAACCTAGCCAACTACTATCCATCTAGATATGAATGAAATGCACCTTAAAAGATTAGAAATTTGTTCAATAAATAGTATATATATTTTATTTAGATCAGATTTAGTTAGTTTTAATTATTAATCAAGTAAGAAAGAAAAAAAATCGAACCTGTTTTCGTCATTGTGTTTTGTATTTCTTATTCATAAAAGAAAACGAATGATAAATATTGCATTCTTTTTCTAAACATTACATGTGTGTAAACTATGCATCAGACTATATATAGGTATCTGTTAATCACTGACCGTACCTACTTATATAACACACACCTAATAATTTTTATTCTTCATAATGACTACTTTGTGAAATGACAAACATCTTTTTTGCTCAACTGTGTATTAATTCACTCCAATTCTAGCACTTTTACTTTCATTCTCTTTTAAAAACAATGTGTGTCTATGAACTGGAAAAAAGAAACAATTTTCTCGAAGTGTAATTCTCACACATGCACACATACACACATTACTTATTTATATGTACAACTTCATGTGTTATTTATTAGTTTATGCAAACTGTGTTTGTTGTATTTTTAGTGTATTAAGTTCGGAATGATATATTCTTGTTTTATTCAGAAGTTTGTTTTTCTTTTGTCTAACTGTGTTGTAGGTTATAATAAAATGTTAGCTCGTCATTTGGTATCTCTAAGATGACACGAATAAACGTTTTTGTTGATGAATGAGCACATACTACTGTGTATATCTAATTCTTGTTACAACTAATTGATATCTGGCAATTTTTAGGAATAGGCTATAAATCGAGAAAAGGAGTATTCATAAATAAGTTCTGAATTCTCAGGGTGAAATCATTTGTGAACATCTAGTACTCGATGAATACGCTTTGGATTGGCATGAATCAAATGTTTAGCGACTAAAAAATGGATTTTAATCACCGAATTGCCAGTTCATAATCTTCATATACTTGAATGTAACCAACTGTGTAATCTACATACACTTAAAGGAGTGAATTAAGGCTATCTAAATAAAGCTATCATTTTGATAATGTGGTATGGCAGCACGTTTGTACCAACTTCAGTGTTGGGTATAACTGTTTAACTGTGCTTAGTTATTTACTCACCGATTATATGTCAATTTCCAGTAGTATATCTTATTTTAACTGTCAAATTTTTGTGTAACTTCAGTATCTCTATGTCTCCACTTTTAAATTCATCATTCTAGAGCTTCCATAAACGAACAATATTTGCGCCTCCATATACACTCATGAACTCTCGTAATGTACTCAGTCAATTAGATATTTCATCGGAGCCTCCTGATCGGTCATCTGTTTTATTCGTTGCATATTGTCTTTCACAAGATCAACAATGGCTTCTGGCTACATTTACAGATGAGCAAGGTGGACTGTTAGATCATACTTTGATTAATATCCGTGTTCCAACAAGGTACTTTGCTGAAACAGAGAATCAACGTTTTCAAGCGGCAGAATCAAATAAGCATATATTAAGCCCTCGTCGTATTGGACTTGCACGACTTTGGGATTATATTATTAATCTAATCAGTCAAACTGCAAATGCTTGGAGACTTGTAGTAGGAAGAATCGGTAGGTTGGGACAAGGGGAACTAAAAGGTGAGTTTCATTCTCTCAAAATGAGTTGTATATTCAGTGTAGTTTAATTTATTAACATTGATCGATCGTGTACGGACCAAATAGCAACATAACAAATCATTGTGGAACAATCAGTTGAATGGAACTCACCACTCTACATCAACTTCATTGACTACGACAAAATGTATTTGATAGCGTGGACAGGACAACACTATGAAGACTTGTTCGACATTGCGGCGTGCCTGAGAATATAATCAATATCATACGGAATTCTGGTGATGGATTAAACTGCGAAATCGTGCACGGAGGACAGCTGACAGACTCTCTCGAGGTCAAGATCGTTGTCAGACAAGGTTTCTTACTTTCACCCTTTCTCTTTCTTCTGGTGATCAACTGGATTATGAAGACGTCAATATCTGGAGGGGAACATGGGGTACAGTGGACAGCCATGATGCAGCTGGACGATCTGGACTTCGCAGATGACCTGGCTCTTCTATCACACACGCAACAACAAATGCAAGAGAAGACGACCAGTGTAGCAGCAGCCTCTGCAGCAGCAGGTCTCAACATACATAAAGGGAAAAGCAAGATTCTCCTATACAACACAGCATTCGCCAACCAAATTACACTTGGTGTAGATGATTGGGAGGACTTTAACACCTTTATATATCAGGGCAGCATCATCGAGCAAGCTGGATTAAATGCAGATGTGATGGCGCGGATCGGCAAGCAAGGGCTGCATTTCTACAGTTGGACAACATATGCAACTCAATACAACTGTCGAGACAGTTCTACTGTATGTGGCGGAAACTCAGAGAACCACGAAAGCCATCATCCAGAAGTTACAAATGTTCATTGATAGTTTTCTACGCAAAATACTTCGGATCCGTTGGTCGGACATCATCAACATCAACCTGTTGTGGGAGAGAACAGACCAGATTCCATTGCAGGAGGAAATCCGAAAATTGCGAAAAGCTTCAAACTGCGTCAGAAGACAAGCCCTCACATGGAACCCTCAAGGCAAAAGGAAAAGAGGAAGGCGAAAAAACACATTTCGCTAAAGCTGGACCTCAGTCCTTAAAAATCTGGTTTTATTTTTCAAAATTTTCAAGGCTAATAATTATTAAGATTAGTAGTCAAATGAATAATATGTGTCTACATATTTATATATCTACATATATAAAAAAGTTTCAGATATTAACCGTTGCTGCCAATAAGTAGTATGAATTTCTTAACCTTTGTTTTGAATCTTGTTACATTTTATAGGTTGGAATGGACTGTTAGGACGAAAAAGCCTTCAAGATGTGAATAAATTTTTTCGAGAGCGTTGTTCTGCTTGCAGTACATCATCTTGTGTCCCTTCACACTCGTCATCCATTAATAATGGTTCTAAGCCTATGTTGAATCTAGTTAACAGTTTCACTGGAGCCAGTAGTTGTACTCATGAACTCCCAAGTTTGATCAGCGCATGTCTTGTTTCTCTCGAACCTCAAAGCACATTCCGTGTATATCCTGGTTTCGGTTTATGTTCAGATGAATCATGGACATACGGAGGTAGTGGAGGTGGTGGTAATGCAGGTGGTTGCGGCGGTGGATCTGGAAACGCTGGTAGTTCTGGTGGTGGTGGAGGTCTTTGTAATGGTGTTAACAGTGCATTTTGTGGAGCCAATGCGTCACCATTAACTATGCGCATGATGTCACTTTTAGATACTCCCACAACATCTACAGAAACACCTAGTGCAACTCATATCCTAGTCTTTCCTACTAGTACTTCAGCAAGTGGTGTGTCTGTAAGTTGATTATCACATTATTATAATTAACGTATAGGATTTGTTTGTTTTGGTTAAATTGTATTTTTTTTAAATTTCCGGTGTTATTTGAATTAAAAGTTAAACTAGTTTAAATGAAATCATACAATTTTGGCTACTTGAAATAACATGCATTTTTCATAACCAGTTTGTCCACGCTTGCTGTAATTTTCAAATCGAGTTTCTCATATAGGAACCGTAACCACTGAACACACAATTTGTTTGCAGAAAACAATAATGTATCTGTAAATTTAGTTTTACAGACACGTCATCGTACAGATGCAGTTGAACCTGTGGTTCATAAATGATTTTTATAAGTTGTTGTTTCTTATTCTTAGCTACTTGGCTTCTTTTTTCATCAGAATCTATTTTCGCAAATATTGACTGTCACTTCCTGTTCTTCTCGTGTCCTTAGTTTGAAGTGATATTGTTTTTCGTATATGAAAAAATATCACAAGTGGTTAAACTTTTAAGTATTTTTATTCAGTTTGTAAAGCATACCGATTATACACATGTCGTGGAGTAAAATCTCTTTTAAAATTATCAACTGTCTACTCAATGGTAGAAGTCTACGTAATGGTAAAAGTCACTATTTATTATTGGTACAGAATATTGTAGAGCCTAGCTTTGAGTGGAGTTTTATGATATACTTTTGGGACTTCTGGGATAGTTAATAGAATGCTGGTCATTTTGTGAAGTTCTTTGATTTTCATATATATATATATATATATATATATATATATATATATATATGGGCGTAATTCCTCATACGAGCTAATATCAAACAAAAAGACAAATGACCATCGGGATTAACCTTCTTATTAGTAAAATAATATATCTCTATACAAAATGTTAGATAAAAAAAATAAATATAGTTACTTGACATCAAATAAATGATTGGAGTATAAAGGTTTTGTTGCTGAGTCACTTGCCAAATAAATTAAAAATTGGTTTGATTGTTAGTCAGTCGCCACATCATTGTCGTATTTAAACGTAATTTTTCTTGGTAACAGCTATACTATCAATCCTTATGTATTTATTCTTTTTCTTACATTTATTGAATTGTTAAGAAATGATGCACTAGTTTGTCTGATTCCTTCATGACTTCAGCTGCCATGTCATTAGTTTAAATCTCGATTTGCTTAATTTTCATGCTATAAGTGTTATTATACAGTTAAATGAATAAGCTCTAACTTGATTTCTCCACTTTTCCAGTAACGGATTGGAATATTATCCATAAATCATTGTGTGAAGTATTTTAATGATAAATTTTTATTTTCCTGCAGTTTGAAGACGTTGACTCGGTGGAAAAATCATTCAACTTTCTATAATTTGATCACAGGTTGAAGCCCACTCCACCTACTACGGTTTCAGGAAGTGTTGTTTATTACTATGCGCTCGCATGAGCATAAATCCTTTTTTGGTTTCATTAAATTTACAAAATGTTTTTTGTACAGTTACTCAGAAATCAGATTTACTACTAATTACACGTTTTAAATGGTTTCCTCATTTTTGAACCAATTCAAACTTTAGGAGCATGAACCTTCAGGATTAGCAGAAGTCATCTATGGGATGGGATCTGATGATATGAATGTATTTGACTGGCTTCTTCCCAATGATCCTGGCCTTGATGACCTCGTTCCTCCTAATGGATCAACAGCAGAAATGTTGGCTGACTTTGGTAATCCATCCGAATTAAATTTTGGCTTGTCTGATCTGGGTCCACCTGTTTGTGTCAATGGTGTTAATGACGGTACGGGAAAGTCATCTAACACTAGATTAGGCGACGGTAGTGATATTTTGCATGGACACAATGATTACGCTATTGGTTTTCCTGATAATCGGGGACATGGAAATATTTCTGACGTTATGTGTTTGCGCGGATTTGATTCTGGACTGCTGGATTTGGGGCCAAACCATCTAAATGATGTTGGAGGTTATGTGAGTGAACATTCACTTGGTCATATTGTTAATCCTCTCAACACAATGCCCTTCGGAATACATGATCCTACAGTAAGTAAACTACTTTTTGTTTATTCATACAACCTCCTTAGTCTAACATCAGGTTGGCCAACATAGGTGTCCGATTTTGCATATTCAAAAAATAGGAGTCTTGTCTTGTACTCGTTACTACCATTATACTACGAATGACTGCTTGATAAACTGTGAAACAATTCACGACTCGCTCAGTTGTTCAAATTAGTGTATAAACTTGAAGTTGTATTTTTAATTGGTTACACTGCGATCCTTAAGAAATAGATTATTATCGTTCTATGGTTCTAGAACTGACTTTCTTCTTTCACATGACTTGACATCTATATAAGAGTTTAGATGAAAGATAATTATGCGATAAAACAACTAATTGATGTGTAGTCTCTCTCAGTAACTCTCACTACTGAGTAACTGAAATAAAATTAAGGTTTATTCATAAAATAGGTTTCGACTATCTCCATTTTCTACTCTTTTGATCGAAAACCTAGTCTGTTTTGTTAGTATGTTTACTATTGAACCTTTCATTTTTGCAACTTAGGATGAAGTGGGAAGTTTAATGCAACAACCCTTGGCAATGGGATATTACATATCAACGGCTTCAGCCGGTCCACTACCTTCATGGTTTTGGATTGCCTGCCCCCATTCCAAGTTTCAGTATCCAGTTTGCTTAAAGTCTGCCCTGCATTTACAAACTACGTTGGTTGGTGTCGATGACGCTGCAGCCGCAGCTCCTCCACCAACTGGAGGTTCAAGTGGCCCAGGGGTTGGGCCATCATCAAATCGTCCGGGACATCTCCTAGATTCAAATAGCACATGTGATGTATTAAGATATGTTTTAGAAACATATAATGCTTTATCTTGGCTAACCATTGATCCAACAACTAACGATCGCAGAACTTGCTTACCTGTTCACATTCTTTCCTTATCACAAATATATCAGGCTTTTGAAGCATTCACTTGATTTCTCTGCATCTCTGTAATCTATTTGTAGATATTAATCATTAATGTTCCTTTTTTTTAAAAAAAAAAATAATGGCAGCTTGGAATATGCCAAGAAATCTTTCAAAGAAAAATTAATGATTTCTATATTACTTCCCTTATTATTTAAATTTTATTCTCTCACTTATTTGTTCTTGCCAGTTTGTAAAATTATATTGTCTATTTCCATCAGGGTAGATGTAACTTTGTACTAACGATTATGATTTGAAAAATTCTACTGTCAACCATTTTATTATATTTATGAAATGACCTTACAGATATTTCATGTGTTAACCCTATTGTGATTTTTTGTACAGACTTAGTATGTATGCTTTCTTTTGTTGAACAATTTATTTCAACTTGTGTATAGATATTTTTAAAAGACAGAAAATAAGAATAATTTAGGATCTTTTGTTCTATGTATCTTCCCTTTTTCATATTTTTTTTCTCTAACATCATATATTGAGAAAAAGAAGATTATAAACAGTGTTTTACCGGCTGTGTGTGAATGTTTATGTTTCTCTCTTTTTCAAACACTATCACGTCCTCCTCTCTACTACTCTGTTACTGATCTTCTTTCACTTTGTACTATATATCCATATCTGCATTTCGCATATATTCTCTGATGATGTTGAAGCTTTTTTTCTGTTTCTCTCAGTTTGCTCATGATTATCATTTGTTGGTTTTTTGTATGGATTTACAACATTGTGTGAATTTCATTCATCGTAAGAAAGTGATGGCGATTTCTTTTCTTAAAATAACCTTATTATGTTTCCTTATGCTCCGTTAATGAGGGCGAGAAAAATATTTTTCACGTGTTGTTGTATATGTATTTGCTTTACATTACGTTGTTACTTGTTCAAAATAATGTAAACTGTAAGAATTAGTCTGCTATTGTTACAGACTGTTGTCGATATTAGTATTGACGTTTTGATTGTTATCTCTTTATTACAATCTTCACAACTACCACTAAGTTCTCCTTGGTCGGTATAGGATATATATGTTAAGTTGAATTTTCGATTAGTCGTCTATTTGTGTGCCTTGTTCTTCCTTAATATAGACTTGTATTTTGTCGATGATGAATGTGTGTTCGCTCCTTCCATTTCATCTTTTTTCCCCTTGATTTCAGTTTGTTAAACCAACATCAATTCCTAAGGTCCGATTTGTAATCTTATTTTATTCATATTTGCATTGTTGGTCAATGTTGATTGTAAATGTATATAAAATGACCATTTTATTCTTAACATAGAAATAATTAATTTCAGTTTGGTTGTTATACTTGACTTTGTCTAAAAAAATCACTGTGTTGTACAGTAAACAATTGCTTATCATTGTACTACATAGTCTAAACCGATTGATTATGTAGAACCAATTGCAATGCATTGAGTAAAACAGTATAGATTTGTAACAATCGGTAGTGGACATCATTTAGTAGACGGAATCTGTATTTCTCAACAACATTTAGTAGCAATGATAAGTTCTGCCATTTACTGTTGTATCTTTTTATTCAACTGAATTAGAAAAATACGAAAAAATAGTTTGTAGATGTAAATCTAATGGTGACCTTTTACTCAGGAATAATTGATCAACAACAGAAGTAAAAATACACTTAGTGTATAATTATATCAACAGGACGATTCATACGAGACAGCGAAAATTTTGATAACCAATAATGCTCTAACATCGATATTTAAATCAGAGGGTTTTACTTTAAGATTGGACATTGATGTGTTCCTTCAAAGTGGTAAAACAAAATCTTGATTAATTACAATAGTAGTAAAATACAAAATCGAAAAGAATTACAAATCAATCTAGATATATCACATATTGTCTAAATTAAAAATCAACGTTCGGGACTACTGAGTGATGAAAAGGGAATCCTTCTGTTTCAAATTTTAATTCATAGATGTCGGCTTTGCGTAAGTTAACATTAATCATTCGACAGATTTTTCATCATAATAGATTATTTAAAACCAAACAATTTAATGTATTTCTTCGTAGTCACAGACCAGGTTTTGTCTTCCTGTGACCATTGAAACAAATTACTATAGCATGCTCATCTTATTTGTTGTCGATTTTTATATTAGTGAAAATTTATTTCTATTATTTTACCTATCCAACAATTCATATTAAGTCCATCCTGTTACAAAAAAACTATTACTTACTTTTACATGGATTCAAATAATATGGAATTAATGTTGGTTATTATGAGCTAGATATGACTTAGTTATTTCGTTTTTTGTTGATGGGACTTCTTCGAAAACTTGTTTTATTGGTTGGTGTTGTTATCGGTAAGATTCACAGCCTTAAATGACAAATTTTCATAAGATTTTATTGTTACCTTCACTGAAATAAACTTTCCATCTTCCACTGTTAATCTTATCTTCCAGTTATTGTGTTTTTCAAGGTCAATTACAACCATGTACGACCAAGAATAGATATATTTGTTTATTTTCAACTCCTCATTAATATTTCACTATTTGCCTAAGATTCATTACCATTACCGTATAACATGACTAGTGTGTATGGAAACAAAATTGTACATTTAATTCTAAAGCTCTTAATAAACACGACGAAAATTAATAATACAAAATCGGAATCGATAATTTATATCTATCCGAAACTGAATACAAAGTATACATCCAAATTTTTTTTTTTTAGATAACATGTTTTGTTTACTTAATTTAAGTTGATGTAACATTTGATTGGCAAATTTTGTTTCATTAAAAAGTGATCACTTGACGTTGATGATTGAAAAACTTTAGTGTAGTAATACAGAGATAATAATAATCCCACTAAAAATATCAAACCAGCTACCATACAATAATTAATTTAAACACAATAATCAGAATTTATTACTTATTTGCTGCTAAACAGGATTATAATGGTTAAAAAAAATACCCGATGGTATTGTCGCCAAGTGTTTAAAAAAGTTAACTTAAATTTGAATTCGAGAAATTCATTTCAAGGGGTTTTTTGAGGAAAAATGATTTGATTTATTTCACTGTTAATCAATAAACTGTAAAGCAATGTGGAGTTAGGCCAGCTTTTTCCAAATTCAGTTAATTTATAATGATTTAAACATACTTTTTAAATGACATGCTTGCTTCTGTAGGCAGTTTGTTGAAATATTTTCATAGTTATATTACAAAATGTCACCTAGCATACCGCCGTATCAATGGAAAGGACAACAATGATTTTAAGAGATTCAACCTCGAACTGTTTCCCGTGTAAATTATAAACTATCCATTAAAGAAATATAAAAGATGTAGACTTGAATCTAATTTAAAACGGTAAGTTGTTTATTAAACACTAAAATTTGTCGCCACATTTACTGAGTAACAAGCTCTTGTATAATAACAAAATATGTTGAATAAATATTTACAATCGGATACTGTGAAATGTGAAGAGTGATCGTTTCGTTTGTCCAAAAAAACAATTGACTTTTGGCTTGTTTTAAGGAAAAATTAATCAGTTTTAAAGTTAGCCACACTAACTGATTACTATTGAAAACTAAAAATTAGTAGACAGTAACTTCCTTTTTAGTATATACATATGACAACATTAAGTAGTTTTTTTCCTCTTTTTCAAAAATCTTTTTAATTGTACCCCACCAACTTCATGTGGAGTCGAGTTCATGAGTTTAAATTCTACCATTTTCCAAAAGTCAATCCACAAATTATTATATTGCCAAAATGTTTTATATTCGAATAAAATCAATATTCAAAGCTTTGCAATATTGAGCGCTTTATTCATGATCATTACTCTATACTTAAAAATGAGTGATCTTTCAATTGAAGAAATCATTGTCAGACTGACTATTGAATGTGATGTTGAAATTATCTTATGTCAATGACCTTTTTGTTAGTCTGATATATACGGATTCTACATACTAAACAAGTTTCATAAACAACTTTAGTGCAAATTATTTTATACAAATGCGCTTTATTTTCTTTAACTATTTTATAAACACACTCATGAACACAGAAGTGTTGGTTGAGTGAACAGTTCACGCGGATCTTTATTTTTATAAATCTGTCCAATATAATGATAATTTATATATATCATACAATAATATCAATTGTAAATTAGAAAATATTAAGTGTTTGTTTGGCTTCAGTTAGAGATCAATATTCACTATGGATCCATTAACTGGGAACAACGGATCAAATTCAAGAACAGTTGTTTTAAGACAAACACAATTCGTGTCAGAAAATAGTTGAAATCTAGAAGTCTACATACATTGTTAACCTCAACCAACTAATGAAATAGAACGATTCTTAACTACTGGTCATCGGTGAGTGATTGTCTCATTCCAGATTTAATTGACTTTATCAATTGGCTTCTTAAGAGAGATTTTTAGAATCTTTTATGACGGACGCTAATTGTTAGGAATCACACAACTATCACTTAATGATAGGGGTTATTTTTGACGATTGTGCACACTTAATGGACTTAATTTTCATTATACACTGATATTTATTGTACATTTAATTTTACAACTGTAATTTACTAAAATATTTTCTAAAGTTAATAATAAATTATGTAAATACAACAGAAATTAGTCTAACGGAATAATCAAGAACTTACTTACTTACGCCTGTTACCCCCAATGGAGCATAGGCCGCTCACCAGTTTTCTCCAACCAACTCTGTCCTGGGCTTCCATTTCTAGTTCTGTCCAATGTTTGTTCATTCCTCTCATATCCTTCTCTATTTCTCAGCGTAATGTATTCTTTGGCCTTCCTCTTTTCCTTTCGCCTTGAGGGTTCCATGTGAGGGCTTGTCTCGTGACGGAGTTAGGTGCTTTTTGTAATGTGTGTCCTATCCACTTCCACCGCTTCTTCCTGATTTCCTCATCCACTGGAATCTGGTTTGTTCTCTCCCACAGTTCGTTGTTGCTGATGGTGTCTGGCCAACGAATACGAAGTCTTTTGCGTAGACAACTGTTAATAAACACTTGTATCTTCTGGATGATAATAAT